GAAACGTGAGAAATTATACTACGCATCCGTCAAATTGAAGGAAAAAATAATCAAACATTAATACTATTTATATTGCATGTATCAACTTTACCTATGAAAAAAATATCTTCCTTCGTTCAGTAAAATCTACTCTGAACATATTTCATGATGACAATCTATATTTATATAAGGTAGTTTATATCATTTGTAAACATAAATGGTTATGAATATTGTTAATATCGACAAAATGATGTATAACAGAAATCAAAGTAATGGCTAAGTTTATGGGTATTTACAATGTCTCTTCTTTTTATTAATTTTTTATTTTATTTTGAATTCGACCTTGATCAGTTAAATATTTCTACACAAAGACTAAAATTAAAGCAGTAATTGAAATAATACATATGAAACGAGCAAACTTACTATACAAGATCCCAGTGAAATGATTGCTTTTGAGATTCCGTCAAAAATTGTCAGCAAAGGGTATCCGAATTATCTCTTTTATCGAATTTTTTTTTGGATTCAATTCGATAGCCAGGATTTACACACCGCTGTACAATTCGATCTGAATTGACCATCAAAAGGTAAGATATAGAAGATATTGCAACATACAATTAGTTACTATATAATTCATTTTTACAATATGATAGTGTAAGCTACCATATACTTTTCATACAAGACTCACAAAGGCCAGAGGCTTCTGATTGTGGGACAGGCACAAAAAATGCAGCGCGGTTAAACATGTTTTGTGAGATCTCAACCCTCTCCCCATATCTCTAGCCAATGTAGACTATATGTATATATATAAACACATCACTCTAGAAAAATTGTATACCGACGAATTTTGGCCATATTGTTTAGACACGATTGGATCTAATCCTTTTCAACGTGTCTGCTATTTTGAATATCTATCACAATTGTTTATTCAACCATTTTTAGTGAAAGGTAAATAACATAAAACCTGTTGTTGTATCCTTTATAATTGGTGGCATAATTTTATTAACATTGCTAGCTAAGTATTCGTTTATGCTTGGCTATATTAAAATTTAAAGTTACAATCAGTAAATAAGCGAGTAAATTATTGATTTCTTGTGACAAATAAAAATTTCGATTATTAATATCAAAATGTAAATGATAAATTTGAATTTTCTCGATTTTTAGCTCAAAAAATTATGTAATTAGAAGTAAAACTGAACTAATTATATTTCCATGTCTTGGATGATCAACGGTAATGGTTTGGTTTCAAGGTGTAATACCACCATTGATTTCCCCTACACATCTTAGTTAAATTTGCACTTTTCAAAAAATTGTTCAGAATTTATCTATGTTTCAAAAAAAGAAATACTTGGCATGAGTAAAGATTTATCCTGTCCAGTACTTAACACAAAATTTCACATGACATTTCATTGCATATGAAAAAATAACCATCACTGGATGTTAACCAATCAAATTTTCACCCCTTTTTCTCCTGTGTACAAGCTTTAATAACCATGCAACCTCAAAACTCCAAAATATTCTATTTAAACACTAAATAAAAAAGATAATGGTGCTTTAAAACACCCACGATATATGTTTATGACTCAGAAATATTTCTTTGCATAGAAATGTATGATTAATTTCCTACAACTGTCAATATTTTTTTTCGACCATCTTTTCGTATGCACCGGATGTGACGTACTATGATTTGGTGGTATTATTCCTAAAGAAGACTTTTTGGTTGAATAAACTGAATGTGATTTTTTCCCTTTGTATTACTGGTTATTTCAAGCATTACGGTCAAGTTTTGTCATAATCAGTTCAATAGTTTGAGAAAAATCTAGTATAACGTAAGACGACATCTACAGCGATTCGAGCAAAATTTCTCCGAAATATCCAAATCAAGCCGCATCATGATAGAATATAGTGTGGACCACTAAATGATCAAATTTTTATCTCATCTGCCTACAAACAGTTGAATATGATAAAAAAAAGTAAAATCACAAAAACACTGAACTCCGAGGAAAATTCAAAATGGAAAGTCCTTAATCAAATGGCAAAATCAAAAGCTCGAACACATCAAACAAATGGATAACAACTGTCATATTCCTGACTTGGTACAGGCATTTTCTTATGTAGAAAATGGTGGATTAAACCTGCTTTTTAGCTAGCTAAACCTCTCACTTGTATGACAGTCGCATCAAATTCCATTATATTGACAACGATGTGTGAACAAAACAAACAGACATAACAGATAAAAATGTCAAAAATAAGGGTACAGCAGTCAACCTTTGTGTTATAATCTTAATCACTATAAAAAACAAACAAATATGTAACAAAGAAGCACAAAAAGGCATATAGACAAAGCATATTAGCATAAATGAAAGACAAGAATACAAAAATTTACAACAGCACAATAACACAATAAAATTGAGAATGGAAATGGGGAATATATCAAAGAGACAACAACCCGACCACAGAGCAGACAACAGCCGAAGGCCACCAATGGGTCTTCAATGCAGCGAGAAAATCCTGCACCCGGAGGTGGTCCTCAGCTGGCCCCTAAATAAAATTGTGTGCTAGTTCAGTAAAAAGGGACGTCACACTAAACTCAAAAACATATAAATGAACTAAAATTAAAAAGAAACATACTAATGCGGCGGGATTAAACATGTTTTGTGAGATCTCAACCCTCCCCCTATACCTCTAGCCAATGAAGAATAAAGAAACACATAGCAATACGCACAGTCAAACTCAGTTTAAAAGAAGTCCGAGTCCGATGTCAGAATAGGTAACAAAAGAAACTAAGCAAAATGACGGGATGTATAAGTACAGAGCCACGTCATATGCATCAATACACAAAAAGGCATATAAACAAAGCAAATTAGCAAAAAAGAAAGACAAGAATACAAACATTATCACAGAACAATAACACGATGATGGGATGTATAAGTACAGAGTTACGTCAAATGGATATCACCAAAAACAGACTAAACAGTAAAAGTAATATTCATAAAGACAAATAAAAGAATACTATAACACGTTATTAAGATTCTCAATACCAAGAATTTATGCTTAAAGACCTTAGTGTATTATTTGTGAAGTATCATTATGACTCTAGGCTGATAAATATCACAAATGGACCTTCTGTCTCCAATATAGTGTCCTTCTGGTTCATTTATACCTCTTTCATTTCAATAAAATTTCATTTGTTTAGGCCAATGAATAAAAGTTTTGGGGTAACTTTAACTCGTTTATGAAGCGTTTATGAAGGAAATGTGATAATAAATGAGTAATTGAAGTATTCAAGCTGAATGAACTATCCATATAAATGTTTATTGACTCCAAGGAGGTTTCAATAAGTTCTTACGTAGAACATAATTTACGCCGCGTTCCAGAGAGGGACATAAAAAGCTTACATTTTTGTGAATAATTTTGTTGTTACTGCTTCAAAAATAATTCTATTTACTAATGATACTATGTATCTATTAAAGTATAACTTAGGAGAAAGTTTTGTATTATAGTAAAATATAAGAAATAAGGAGAAAAGTCATAAGAAGCTCCTCAAAACAATGCTCTGTCTACTAATATTCATTTTAGAGTCCTATTTCAAGGCAATTTTCTAATAAAATGTGTTTTTGAGACTCAATCCACTCATATTTCATTTTTGGAACATTTCACTTAAATGACATGAAATTTTATCAAATGAGAGTACACTCAAGGTCAAAGGTGCATGTGCAGCTTCCAATACTAGGTGTAATACCACCATTGATTTCCCCCTATTATTCTTTTTCAAATTTGCACTTTTAAAAAAATTGTGCAGAATTTATCATTGTTTCAAATAAAGAAACACTTTGATTAGGGACTTTCCGGCATGAGTAAAGTTTTATCCTGTCCAGTACTATAGACAAAATTTCGCATAACATTTCATTGCATATAAGAAAATAACCATCACTGAAAGTTAACCAATCACATTTTCACCCATTATTTCCTAAGTACGAGCTTAAATAACCATGTAACCTCAAGTTTCCAAAATATTCTATAGAAACACCAAATAAAAATTGCTTTGAAACACCTAAGATATATGTTTATGACTTCAATGAAATGAAGGATTAATTTCCTACAAGTGCCAACTTCAAGGGAATCTTTTTGTTTACCCTTTTCGTATGCAACCGGATGTGACGTACTATGATTTGGCGGTATTACAGCTTCAATACATTCGAAATCGTGTTTTGACTTAAACATATTTTTCTTCATCCGAACTAAAACAGTTTCTTTCAGAGTACAATTCGTAAGCTTTGATATCGATATCATAAATGAGTGTCAATTGAGATCCAAGTCTTTCAAGGAAATAGGCTTTAATTTGATTTGTAGTATAATTTCGAAAAACAATAAAAAATTACGACCTAAAATATGAACTGTTCTAGATAGATAAAGTGGACATAAATTGATAAACTGGACATGTTGTGATGTTACACTATTGTTTCAGATAAGGGTGAAGGTTTGGTACCATTAAAACGTTTAAACCCGCTGCAATTGTTTGCACCTTTCCTAAGTCAGGAATCTGATGTTCAGTAGTTGTTGTTTGTTGATGTGGTTCATAAGTGTTTCTCGTTTCTCGTTTTTTATATAGATTAGACCGTTGGTTTTCTCGTTTGAATGGTTTTACACTAGTAATTTTTGGGGCCCTTTGTAGCTTTATAGGCTCCGTGTTGAAGACCATACTTTTACCTATAATGGTTTACTTTTATAAATTTTGACTTGGATGGAGAGTTGTCTCATTGGCACTCATACCACATCTTCTTATATCTATATAAGTTCTGTATAATGTGTTTTTCAAACATTGTTGACAGCTTCAAAAGTACAGATGTTTGAATGGTATAAGCATATAAAAAGATTAAGTGGTCTTAAGTGTCTACTTCCCAATGTAAACCATTGACCGCTAACTTGAACCAAAACATCTTTTCCTGTTTATAATGTACATCGACCAATTGATTTTTTCGCATGGTATGGGCGAGGTGCGAAGGAAATATCATGGACTAATAGAAACTAAATAAATATAATATTTGTTGGAAAGAAATAATATTGATAATGATTAATCATTGACACAAATGCAGATTTGTTTTTAATTCACAATCGAAAACATTTCTTAATTTTCCAACGAATCTTTAAGAGCGTCCAGTACTCAGAAGTCACAGAATCAAAGAATATTTTTAGTGGAAAAAGAAAGATTGACATGATGTATTTCTGCATAAATGGTCATTCTTTTGTTGTTTCAGAACCAATTTTGTTTTTCCAGAAACCAATTTTATCAGGTAGTCAATCTTGTCCCCCATTTGAATATTCTGCCTTTTTTATACCATCAGTTCTTTTCTAAGGTATATCACTTCTTTCTTTGTTTCTTGTAGTTCTCCGCGTAATTGTACTTTGTCTCTGACAACAAATTCACTTTACAAATGTGTTAATTGCTCTTCAGCACCTTCTTTCTTGTTTTTTATTTATTTTAATTCTCCCAACTTTTGTATGTTCATGTTTTCCTTTCTATCCGTTTGTAATTCTCTAATTTCTAACAATGGATATTCCTTTTCACGCTGTAGCTTACTGATACTTTCCTTTAAATGTTTAATTTCTTCTCTCGCTTCTTGTAAAGCCAATTCCAACTTTGCACTGTCTCCGGTGATCTACATCATACATGACATGTGTCATATGAATAAGAAATTAAGTAGATAAAATAAATCATTGCAAACGAGCATATCTATGACACATTTAATGTTCCGTTTCTTAATGTAGTATTTTATTTTTAATATGTTTAAAGAATGTTTTTAATCATTTGTAAGGTTGTTTATTTTATAATCGTTTGTTTTTTTAAACCATTTGTTTCTTTTCATATATTATTATACGAATGATACAGTAACTCTACGAATCGAGCCATATCGAGCCATATTTTTTTCAAATTCCTTATTTCGAAAACCATCATACGCTCATAAGCAATGTTTTTTTTAATGATTTGTAAATCTTAAATGTTGAATCCGTAAGAACATGTGAGTAAGCGTTTCTGTTAAATTCAGATAAGGGTCGAAGAATATCACCAGGAAAACTATTTTTAGCTGGAGATTTTTTCAATGTGCTAATACTGCACCCCCACATTATTTGCGACTACCGATTATTTTCACTGCCAATGTTGTGATGAATTTTCTTATCAGAACATTCGAATTGTGTCTTTATATCTATAACATTAATAGACGACCTTTTTAGGCATCTCTTTTGTCGTTTTCGATATCGTTTTCTGTTTAATCAAAAGTACATTAGACTAGTTATTACATAACATACCACAGCATCACCTGTAAATGAAATATATATTTTAAAAAATCAGTATGGAAAAACTCTTATAATTATTTTCTTAATCTCATCAAAGGTACTATCTTGATTCAATAGTAACCAGACACACGTTTCATTTACATCAGACCCACCAGAGGCGCTGGTATCTGTTATCAAAACAATGGGGAGTCCAAATGAAAACGGGAGTTAAAGAACATTGAAAACCAAACATATTTTAACAGTTTTGCCAGACATGGAAAAGACATATATACGTGGTGATAGAAAAACCATGGTATAACAACTTGTATTATGTGAAACGAGAGGGAAGGATGAGACAATTGTTTTGCTCTATTAGTGCAGGGGTCCATTGTCTTTGCTACTTCAAAATGGCACTGTCCAACGAACAATGTTTTAAAGAATAAAATCCAATTATAACCAGTTAAGCAGACAAGACTTTTCAGCGTGCCAATTCTTGTTAATTTTGACAATTGTGTTGTTTTACTATACGTTTGGTTTGTATTGGACCTTTATTGTTTTTTACATGTCTTTTTATTTAAATTTAGGCTACACCATGGCATAAAGAGAACCGATATTGCAAGCACAAACAAATATAAAATTTTAACGGGGTGTCATCTATTTATAAGCCTAATTAGTAATGATATACAGATACTATGAGCATTATTACTCAATTACTCTTTACACTTTTAACACTACGTGATTAGGGTTTTGTTTAGTTAAACATGCATGTTGTCGAATAACAAGAAAATATATCATGGCTACGTTTACAGGAATGTGCATGTATCTACGTTACTTTTCCTGTTTTATGTAATTTGAACTCTTATTTTATTTAGATAACCGGTCTTGGTAAATATGAACTTATGAATTAAAGTACTTATAGAATAAGAAAGGATTTATTTTTAAAGAAATGCAATAATAACGTACCTAACACTATGTCTTCCCCTGTTTCTCTCACATCAAATTCTGAAGTCGCTGGCATAAAAAATACACATCCGTCAAATTGAAGGAAAAATTAATCAAACATTAATACTATTTATATTGCATGTATCAACTTTACCTATGAAAAAAGAATATCTTCCTTCGTTCAGTAAAATCTACTCTGAACATATTTCATGATGACAATCTATATATATATATAAGGTAGTTTATATCATTTGTAAACATAAATGGTTATGAATATTGTTAATATCGACAAAATGATGTATAACAGAAATCAAAGTAATGGCTAAGTTTACGGGTATTTACAATGTCTCTTCTTTTTATTAATTTTTCATTTAATTTTGAATTCGACCTTGATCAGTTAAATATTTCTACATAAATACTAAAATTGAAGCATTGATTGAAATAATACATATGAATCGATCAAACTTACTATACAAGATCCCAGTGAAATGATTGCTTTTGAGATTCCGTCAAAAATTGTCAGCAAAGGGTATCCGAATTATCTCTTTTATCTAATGTTTTTTGGATTCAATTCGATAGCCAGGATTTACACACCGCTGTACAATTCGATCTGAATTGACCATCAAAAGGTAAGATGTAGAAGATATTGCAATATACAATAAGTTACTACATAATTCATTTTTACAATATGATAGTGTAAGCTACCATATAATTTTCATACAAGACTCACAAAGGTCAGAGGCTCCTGATTGTGGGACAGGCACAAAAATGCAGCGCGGTTAAACATGTTTTGTGAGATCTCAACCCTCTCCCCATACCTCTAGCCAATGTAGACTATATATATATATTTATAATCACATCACTCTAGAAATTTTGGCGACGAATTTTGGCCATATTGTTTAGACACGATTGGATCTAATGCTTTTCAACGTGTCTGCTATTTTGAATATCTATCACAATTGTTTTTTCAACCATTTTTAGTGAAAGGTAAATAACATAAAACCTGTTGTATGCTTTATAATTGGTGGCATAATTTTATTAACATTACTAGCTAAGTATTCGTTTATGGTTGGCTATATTAAAATTTAAAGTTACAATTATTAAATAAGTGAGTAAATTATTGATTTCTTGTGACAAAAAAATTTCGATCATTAATATCAAAATGTAAATAATAAATTTGAATTCTCTCGATTTTTTGTTCAAAAAATTATGTAATTAGAAGTAAAACTGAACTAATTATAATTCCATGTCTTGGGTGATCAACGTTAATGGTTTGGTTTCAAGGTGTAATACCACCATTGATTTTCCCCTACAAGTCTAAGTTAAATTTGCACTTTTCAAAAAAATTTCAGAATTTATCTTTGTTTTAAAAACAGAAATACTTGGCATGAGTAAAGATTTATCCTGTCCAGTACTTTGGACAAAATTTCACATAACATTTCATTGCATATAAAAAAAATAACCATCACTGCATGTTAACCAATCAAATTTTCACCCCTTTTTCTCCTGTGTACAAGCTTTAATAACCATGCAACCTCAAAATTCCAAAATATTATATTGAAACACTAAATAAAAAACTTAATGGTGCTTTAAAATACCCAAAATATATGTTTATGACTAAGAAATATTTTTTTCATAGAAATGTAGGATTAATTTCCTACAACTGTCAATATTTTTTTTCGACCATTTTTTCGTATGCACCGGATGTGAAGTACTAAGATTTGGTGGTATTATTCCTAAAGAAGACTTTTTGGTTGAATAAACTGAATGTGATTTTTTCCCTTTGTATTACTGGTTATTTCAAGCATTAGGTCAAGTTTTGTCATAATCAGATCAATAGTTTGAGAAAAGTCTAGTATAATGTAAGACGATATCTACAGCGATTCGAGCAAAACTTCTTCGAAATATCCAAATCAAGCCGCATCATGATAGAATATAGTGTGGACCACTAAATGATCAAATTTTTATATCATCTGCCTACAAACAGTTGAATATGATACAAACAAAGTAAAATCACAAAAACACTGAACTCCGAGGAAAATCCAAAACGGAAAGTCCCTAATCAAATAGCAAAATTAAAAGCTCAAACACATCAAACGAATGGATAACAACTGTCATATTCCTGACTTGGTACAGGCATTTTTTTATGTAGAAAATGGTGGATTAAACCTGCTTTTTAGCTAGCTGAACCTCTCACTTGTATGACAGTCGCATCAAATTCCATTATATTGACAACGATGTGTGAACAAAACAAACAGACATAATAGGTAAAAATGTCAAAAATAGGGGTACAGCAGTCAAATTTGTGTTTTAATCTTAATCACTATAAAAACAAACAAATATGTAACAAAGAAGCAAAAAAAGGCATATAGACAAAGCACATTAACAAAAATGAAAGACAAGAATACAAAAATTTACAACAGCACAATAACACAATGACGGGATGTATAAGTACAGAGCCACGTCATATGTATCAAAGAAACACAGAAAGGCATATAGACAAAGTAAATTAGCAAAAATGAAAGACAAGAATACAAACATTATCATAGAACAATAACACGATGACGGGATGTATAAGTACAGAGCCACGTCATATGTATCAAAGAAATACAAAAAGGTATAAAGACAAAGCACATCAGCAAAAATGAAAGACAAGAATACAAAAATTATCATAGAACAATAACACAATGACGGGATGTATAAGTACAGAGTCACGTCAAATGGATATCACCAAAAACAGACTAAACAGTAAAAGTAATATTCATAAAGACAAATAAAAGAATACTATAACACGTTATTAAGATTCTCAATACCAAGAATTTATACTTCAAGACCATCGTGTATTATTTGTGAAGTATTATTATGACTCTAGGCTGATAAATATCACTAATGGACCTTCTTTCTTCAATATAGTGTCCCTTCTGGTTCATTTATATCTCTTTCATTTCCATAAAATTTCATTTGTTTAGGCCAATGAATAAATGTTTTGGGGTAACTTTCACTCGTTTATGAAGGAAATGTGATAACAAATAAGTAATTGAAGTATTCAAGCCGAATGAAAAATCCATATAAAAATGTATTGACTCCAAGGAGGTTTCAATAAGTTTTACGTAGAACTTAAATTTGCGCCGCGTTCCAGAGAAGGACATAAAAAACTTACATTTTTGTGAATAATTTGTTGTTACTGCTTCAAAAATAATTCTATTTACTAATAACTATGTATTTATTAAAGTATTACGTAGGAGAAAGTTTTCTATTATAACAAAATATAAAAAATAAGGAGAAAAGTCAGAAAAAGCTACTCAAAACAATGATCTGTCTACAAATATTCATTGTAGAGTCCTATTTCAAGACAATTTTCTAATAAAATGTGTTTTTGAGACTCATTCCACTAATATTTCATTTTTGGAACATTTCACTTAAATGGCATGAAATGTTCTCAAATGAGAGTACACACAAGGTCAAAGGTGTAATACCACCAGTGATTTTCCACTATTAGTCTTTTCAAATTTGCACTTTAAAAAAAATTGTGCAGAATTTATCTTTGTTTCAAATAAAGACACACTTTGATTAGGGACTTTCCGGCATGAGTAAAGTTTTATCCTGTCCAGTATTATAGACAAAATTTCGCATAACATTTCATTGCATATAAGAAATTAACCATCACTGAAGGTTACCCAATAACATTTTCACCCTTTTTTCCTAAGTACGAGCTTAAATAACCATGTAACCTCAAGTTTCCAAAATATTCTATAGAAACACCAAATAAAATTGCTTTGAAACACCTAAGATATATGTTTATGACTTCAATGAAATGTAGGATTAATTTCCTACAAGTGTCAACTTCAAGGGAATATTTTTGTTTACCCTTTTTCGTATGCAACCGGATGTGACGTACTATGATTTGGCGGTATTACCTTCAACACATTCGAAATCTATACGTGTTTTGACATAAACATATTTTTCTTCATCCGACCTAAAACAGTTTTTTTTAGAGTACAATTCATAAGCATTGATATCGATATCATAAATGAGTGTCCATTGAGAACGAAGTCTTTCAAGGAAATAGGCTTTTATTTGATTTGTAATATAATTTCGAAAAAAAAATCAATATTTACGACTTAAAATATGAACTGTTTTAGATTGATAAACTGGACATTCTGTATAATGTGTTTTTCAAACATTATTGACAGCTTCAAAAGTACAAATGTTTGAATGGTATAAGCATATAATATGATTAAGTGATCTTAAGTGTCTACTTCCCAATGTAAACCATTGACCGCTAACTTGAACCAAAACACCTTTTCCTGTTTATAATGTACATCGACTATTTGATTTTTTCGCAGGGTATGGGGGAGGGGGCGAAGGAAAAATCATTGACTAATAGAAACTAAATAAATATAATATTTGTTGGAAAGAAATAATATTGATAATGATTAATCATTGACACAAATGCAGATTTGTTTTGAATTCTGACCTTCGCCTTATTTTTCATGGAAACATTGATTATGTTACACTTGTTTGAAAATTTTAACAATGTGCTTTTTGAAGAATAAATCCAAATATAAGCATTTAATAAGCAGACAAGACTTTTCAGCGTGCCCATTCTTGTTCATTTTGACAATTGTGTTGTTTTACTATACCTATGGTTTGTATTGGTCCTTTATTGTGTTCTACCTGTCTTGTTGTTTTATATTAAGGTTATGCTACGGAGAAAAAGTGAAACGATATCGTAATTACATACAAGTTGTAAAATTTTAACGGGGTGTCATCTATTTATAAGCCTACTTGGTAATGATATACATATACTATGAACATTATTACTGGATTACTCTTCATACTTTAACACTATGTGATCATGGTGATTAGAGGTTTTGCTAAGGTAAACATGTACCCTATACAATGATTTTTTTTTCGGATTGTTTCAGCCGGTCTTTGGATAAATGTATAGTAATTACCTGTTTCTGTATCTGCCGAGTACAAAACTGTTCTTTTGTTTTTTTTATCTAAAGAAAAAGAAAAAACATGATAAAAACATAATAACTATTTTATGATATAAACAAGTATGTTAATTCACGGAAGAAAACATCATGTCTGTAAAATTTGACGTAAGCATTTCTGCATGATGCAATCTATGTTTTTACATGGCAGTATTTAATTTTCATGAGCTAAAATAAGTAATTAACATGTTGTCGAATAACAAAAACAAGATAATATACCACGGCTTTTTTTACAGGAATTTATAGTTACATAGCTTTTCCTCGATGATTTAATTTGAACTCTAATTATATTTGGGTATAAAATATGGAATTTCCATTCTCAATTTTATTATGAATAATTTGAAGGCAAATATAAAGTTAGGATAATAATAATGAATGATTTTTTTTCGAAATGCAATGGCAGCGTACCTAACACCGTTCCTGTGGCATCAAATTCTGAACTTGCTGATATAGGAAATAAAAATTCGTAGCAACCTAAGGAAAAAAAGAATAAAACATGAATACTATTTATAATGCATGTATAAACTTTACCTACGAACAAACGAATACGTTCGTTCAGTAAAATCTACTTCATGATCACAATCTATATTCATATAATATAGTTTATATCATTTGTAAACCTAATTTGATATTTTGTTACTAGCAATACAGCAATATAATGAACAACAAAAATCAAAGTGATGGCTAAGTTCACCGCTGAACAATTCGATTTGAATGGACCATCAAAAGGTATATGTAAGATATAGAAGATGTTGCAATATACAATTGATTACTACATAATTAATTTTTACAATATTTTAGTGTAAGCTACCATATACTTTTTATGTATGTTTATATATAATTACATCACTCTAGAGAAATTGTACACTGACTATTTTTTGGTCGTATTGTTTAGACATGATTGGATCTAAAAGTTCTCGTCGTTTCTGCTATTTTGAATATCTTGCACAATTGGTTTTTTCAACGTATTTTACTAAAAGTACTAAATAAACTGTTAACACAGTGATATGTCTCGCCTATTTGTTATTTTGATAATGCAAATGTTAAAATTAAAATAGCAATACTTTAACATGTAAGTTATGCAAATATTCATAGTCAATGAACCATGACTGAAGGTATAGGGCTAAACAATCTCCATTGAAATGAGATGTGCCAATGCTTATACAACTGCAAACCAAATACCATTGACTTTTCATAAGTCGTACCCTTTAAACAAACCTAAACACAAACATTAACTTGTAAACTATATAAAAGTTTCAAAGTCAGGGAACCATAATTAGGGGGTGAGGTTATATAATCTCCATGGAAATGAAACTTGCAAATGCCAATACATTTGCATACCGAAAATCATTAACTTTACATTAGTGGTTCATCTTAAACTGACCTAATCACAAACTAATACATGTAAACTAAGTAAAAGTTTCAAAGTCAATAGACCATGACTGAGGGGTAAGGACCAATTATTATCCATGGAAATGAGATATGCCAATGCTAATACAACTGTAGACCAAATATCACTGACCTACCACTAGTGATTCACCATGAACTAGACCTAATCACAAACTAATACATTGTTGACGCCGCCGCCGTCGCCGCCGCCGGAAACAGCATACCTATGTCTCGCTTTTTGACTCCGTGAAGGTGAGACAAAAAAGTGTACCCTTTTTAATTGGCATCATATTTTTCATTTACATCGCTAGTCAAGTATTCGCTTGTGGTTGACTTTATAAAAATTTAAAGTAACACCCAGTTTATAAGCGAGTAAATCGTTGCTTACATGAGACAAATCCAATTCCGATTACTATCAAAACGTAAATGATGCATTTTAATTCTCTCAGATTTTAGTTTAAAAAAACTTTGTAGTTGTACTAAAACTGAACTATGACCATGTCTTGGGTAAACATCGTTAATCGTATGGTTTTTGTATCAATATATTCGAAAGTTATATTTGTTTGTCTTATCAATATTTTTGTCTTCATCCGACCTAATACAGTTTCTTAAAGGGTAGAAATCGTAAGCATTGATATCAATATCATAAATGATCGTCCATTGATATCATAGGCTGTCAAAGAAATAGGGCTCGGAAGGCTTTAACTTGATTTATAATATAATTTTTAAAACACCAATATTTCAGACCTAAAATATGAACAAATTAATGTTAATAAACTGGACATAAGTCTTGTATAATGTGTGTTTCAAACATTATTGACAGCTTCAAACGTACAGATGTTTTAATGTTATAAGCAGATAACATGTTTAAGTGGGCTTCAGTACTGTCTACGTCCCACTGTAATACATTAATCGCATCCTTTGACTAAAATATTGTTTTCCTGTATTATATGTACATCGACCATTTGTTTTTTATAATATTTTTTGCAAAAAAAAGAAAAGAATGATAATGAGTTTTGTGGTTCCTTACAGTAAGTTATTTCTTGAGAATATTAAGTTATTGAAAAACAACTTTAAGATTAAGTAAATATGATAATGTTGAGAGAAGATAGATATTTCAAACACTCATGACGGAGGGGTTTACAAGTTTTACTAAATAATTCTAGTACTCTAAAATCTACGTAATCTTTATGAGCGATAACAGTATAAAAGTATCCTACATAAGTTAAAAGGGGAAATTTAATCTACATAAAACTCAAAGTTGCACTTATATATGTACTTAAGTTTTAAATGCCATTACACTTGTTGACATCGGTGCGTGAGAAGAACAACTATGTGATATAGATATTTTAAAAGGAGACTTTGACTTATGTTCAAACGAGGTTTCATATCTGCCCGATGAGACTTATAACATAAACAATGAGGTAATTTTCATGGAAACTGCCGCAGCTTGCATTTACATCAGCTGCAGAAACGCTTTTAAGTTCGTAACCCGGATTTGTTTTCTCTCAATCGATTTATGACTTTTGAACAGCGGTATACTACTGTTGCCTTTATTTTTCAATATTACGATTACAAAACGTATGTTAAAGACAGTCAAACGTAAAATTTCTTTTTGTGGTTCAAGAGTGTGGAATTCACATTCCAGAGAAATCTAAAAATAAAATACTGTATCTTCATTCAAATACTCTTACAAGTTATTATATTTTTACAAAGTGTTAGATGTATAAGTGTAACTACAATGTATACTTTAGATGTATTATTCTTGTTATATGTTTATATAAATTTCTCATATGGTTGTGGCCAGTTATCTATTTCTTGCATGAATAGATATATTTCGTATCACACTGCACGTAGTTATTTAATTTAAAAAGTAATAAAATACTCGCCGATGGCTAGTTTATTATTATATTGAAATTAAATAACTCGAGTTGATATCAACCAATTCTCACTCGCTATGAAATCTATAAATATTGTTTAAATTTGTATATGTATATTGGTAGATTGATTGTGATGCATTCATGTAGTCATGCTATATGTAGTGAGCCTTATTAAGAATTGGTTTAATCCAAATGTTTCTCTTAAATGAAGATATTTCACTTTTGCCATGGGAACATTTTTTATTCCTATGGGAATATTTATTCTTCCTACGGGAATAATCATTTCTTTCTATTGGAACAATTATTCTTTCCATTGGAACAAATAATTTACAATGGAAACATGTTTTTCAATTTGAATGTTTTATCCCAGAAAAATTGAAATTTGCTGAAAATACAGGATTTATGTTAGATTGTTGCAGTAAGCAATTTTCAACAAGATACTATATGGTTTCGCATAGATAATTGCACTCATGATGCAACTTCAAATAAACTCTGATTACAGTAAAATATAGAGCAATTAGAACAAGTTTTCAAATTAAGTTGTGTGTGTGTGTGTTGTTGTTGTGATTAACAAAATAGTCTTTTGCAATATTCATGTACACTTTGATTCTTTCATTACATATTATTCAATTGTTCCATAAAAATGAATGTTCTTTTAAAAGCTGACTGCATGGTTATAACAATATACTAGTACACTAAAGGCATTAATGTGCCAAGGAAGGATTTATAATATATAATTTGCCTCGATCTGTATAAAATTCCTATAAATAATAGTGACAATATATATTATATGTCACCAACGTTATTTGGAAATAAATATGAATCAGAGGAGATAAATATATAAATCAACGAGACTGCAATCCAACAACACCTAATAGCTTATGAAGTCAATTTAAAATTCAATCATGGCTTAAATAGAGACTATGACAATATTATCATAAACACTGAATTTATTTAATAAGAATAAAAACCCTAAAACTCGGCAAAAGATACCCCTTATTACAACTGGCAATGTTCCAGGTTGGGACCAGGACCATGAAAATATTTTGAGGTGAAACTTATTAGAAACGGAACCTTACAGGGAACAATGTATCAATAACAGAGAATATAAAGGGCTTAAACTATTTCAGAAAGACAAATGTTCTAATCAGAACAATTTTTATCTTATCTCGCAATTTGAGGAACAGTAGTGACTGTATTTTTCTCCTTTTTTCAACTTTCATGTGATATACAATGAAACTCTTAGTATTCTTCTGTCGATGTCGTTTAGTTAAATGCAACAAATTGTAAGTTCTAAGATAAACCAAATGCCTCCACATAGCAGAATTTATTACCATACCATATAGATATATTGCACATTAGTTTCAAAATTATATAGTGTCCTTAATTATCTTTGAAGGTCTTTGACTTATAGATTTGAAGTTTTTAGTGGTCTTTTTTAATCGGCACACAATATCAATTTAATTCCGCATGTACAAAACAGTGCATGTTATTTCAGTCTTGTACTTGTTTCATGCAGAGAATATTCCAGTTTAAAATTGAAAGAAATAAAATTGTCAGGATAGACATTCAAAATTAATTTGTTTGGTTGTCGTTGTTTATGTCTGTCATTTTTGTTTTTCGTAAACTGTATTCTATGAGTTAGGTCGTTAGTTTTCTCGTTTGGATTGTCTCACACTTAATTGATCAATCTTTGTCATTTGTATTCTCGTAGATAGTTGTCTCATTGGTAATCATACCATATCTCCTTTTTTATATTGGCATTTTAGAATTAAGATTAAATAAATTTAAACCATACATACACAAGATATATATATTTCTTGGTGCCGTGTAGCTAGTCAATATATCCCTATGATATGTGATAGGTCACCGTACGGCCTTCAACAATGAGCAAAGCCCATACCGCACAGTCAGCTATAAAAGGCTCCGAAATGACAATGTAAAACAATTCAAACGAGAAAACTAACGGCCTAATTTATGTACAAAAAATGAACGAAAAACAAATATGTAACACATAAACAAACGACAACCACTGAATTACAGGCTCCTGACTTGGGAGAGGCACATACATACAGAATGTGGCGGGGTTAAACATGTTAGCGGGATCCCAACCCTCCCCCTAACCTGGGACAGTGGTGTAACAGTACAACATAAGAACGAACTATAAAAATCAGTTGAAAGAGGCTTAACTCATCAGATGGATAA